AATATGACAGGGTTTCATCCAACCCAGGTAGACCTCAGATTCACGATGCAGCTGAGCCGGGCCTTGAATGTGGGCTCCTCCTGCCTTTACCTCCCCGGTGCGGGGATTATAAACAGGTTCTATCACATCTGGCTTGCGGATATTCTTCTTGAATTTTGACAGGCAGCAGGGAAAGGGGTTGTGCATGTCAGCCTCACGGCTGACGCACATCTTCACAAACAAGAACGCCCCAGTGGAAGGCCCAGCTCATGACAGAGGTTTCTGGGTGGGCGGTTCATTGCAGAGTGACAGCTAGGATCAGGAGTGGGTAGCAAAGGGAGCCAAGCTAGCAGGAAGACAGGCCAGCACAGGCCTGGTGACTCAGCTCTGTTGCCATGGCAACAGGGTGATTCAGTCTCACAGACCTTCAGAGAAGCTGCTGGAACATGGCTCAAAACGGCGTCAGAGGGGGGGAGGGAGTGTTTATCTACTGGTGTCTGCCTATTTGGGGCTTTAGGTAGTGTGTAGGGGCTAACCCCTTCCTTCTATGGTGGGCTACAATGGGTCCCGTGTGATCTGACTGAGGCTTGAACAGAGCTGTCTGGGGCTTCAGTACCAGGGGTGAGAGGTGAACCGAGTGAAGTGGCCAGGAGAGGAGCTGCAGTACAATGCGCGCTCCCAAGGCACAGTATGCCAACAGACACAGTCTACTCCAACTCCCTGTGACAGTGCATAGGATACATGTGTTCTACTCCAGCCATCACATGAGTGTGATCATGCTCTACTCCAGGTATCACAGTGTGATCATGTTCTACTCCAGCCATCACAGTGAGTGTGATCATGTTCTACTCTAGCATCAAAGTGAGTGTGATCATGCCCTACTCCAGGTCATCACAGTGAGTGTGATCATGTTCTACTCCAGCCATCACAGTGAGTGTGATCAGGCTCTACTCCATCATCACAGTGAGTGTGATAACGGTGTACTCCAGCCATCACAGTGTGATCATGCTCTACTCCAGCTATCAGTGTGATCATGTTCTACTCCATCTCATCACAGTGTGATTATGTTATACTCCAGCCATTACTCTGAGTGTGATCATGTTCTACTCCAGCCATCACAGTGAGTGCGATCATGTTTTACTCCAGCTCAACACAGTGAGTGTGATCATGTTCTACTCCAGCCATCACAGTGAGTGTGATCATGTTCTACTCAAGCTCATCACAGTGAGTATGATCATGCTCTACTCCAGCATCACAGTGAGTGTGATCATGCTCTACTCCAGGTTATCACAGTGATTGTGTTCATGTTCTAGTGCAGCATCACAGTGAGTGTGATCGTGCTGTACTCCAGCAATCACATGAGTGTGATCATGTTCTACTCCAGCCATCACAGTGAGTGTGATCATATTCTACTCCTGCTCATCACAGTGAGTGTGATCATGTTCTGCTCGAGCTCATCACAGTGTGATCATGGTCTACTCCAGCCATCACAGTGAGTGTGATCAGGCTCTACTCCAGCGTCACAGTGAGTGTGATCATGGTCTACTCCAGCCATCACAGTGAGTGTGATCAGGCTCTACTCCAGCGTCACAGTGAGTGTGATCATGTTCTACTCCAGGCATCACAGTGAGTGAGATCATGTTCTACTCCAGCATCACAGTGAGTGTGATCATGCTCTACTCCAGGTTATCACAGTGATTGTGTTCATGTTCTAGTGCAGCATCACAGTGAGTGTGATCGTGCTGTACTCCAGCAATCACATGAGTGTGATCATGTTCTACTCCAGCCATCACAGTGAGTGTGATCATATTCTACTCCAGCGTCACAGTGAGTGTGATCATGCTCTACTCCAGCATCACCGTGAGTGTGCTCATGCTCTACTCCAGCTCATCACAGTGTGAACATGTTCTACTCCATCCATCACATGAGTGTGATCATCTTCTACTCCAGCCATCACAGTGAGTGTGATCATGCTCTACTCCATCCATCACAGTGAGTGTGATCATGCTCTACTCCAGCCATCACAGTGAGTGTGATCATGTTCTACTCCAGCCATCAGTGAGTATGATCATGATCAACTCCAGGTCATCACAGTGAGTGTGATCGTGTTCTACTCCAGGTCATCAGAGTGAATGTGATCATGTTCTACTCCAGCCATAAGTGAGTGTGATCATGTTCTACTCTAGCATCAAAGTGAGTGTGATCATGTTCTACTCCAGCATCAAAGTGAGTGTGATCATGTTCTACTCCAGCATCACAGTGAGTGTGATAACGGTGTACTCCAGCCATCACAGTGTGATCATGCTCTACTCCAGCCATCAGTGTGATCATGTTCTACTCCATCTCATCACAGTGTGATTATGTTATACTCCAGCCATTACTCTGAGTGTGATCATGTTCTACTCCAGTTATAACATGAGTGTGGTCATGTTTTACTCCAGCCATCACAGTGAGTGCGATCATGTTTTACTCCAGCCATCACACTGAGTGTGATCATGTTCTACTCCAGCTCATCACAGTGAGTGTGATCATGTTCTACTCCAGCTCATCACAGTGAGTGTGATCATGTTCTCCTCCAGCTCAACACAGTGAGTGTGATCATGTTCTACTCCAGCTCATCACAGTGAGTGTGATCATGTTCTCCTCCAGCTCAACACAGTGAGTGTGATCATGGTCTACTCCAGCCATCACATTGAGTGTGATCATGCTCTACTCCCGCCATCACAGTGAGTGTGATCATATTCTACTCCAGGCATCACAGTGAGTGTGATCATGCTTTACTCCAGCCATCACATTGAGTGTAATCATGTTCTACTCCCGCACATCACAGTGAGTGTGATCATGCTCCACACCAGCTCATCACAGTGTAATAATGTTCTACTCCAGGATCACAGTGAGTTTGATCATGCTCTACTCCACCGATCACAGTGAGTGTGATCATATTCTACTCCAGACATCACAGTGATTGTGATCATATTCTACTCCAGCTCATCACAGAGTGTGATCATGCTCTACTCCAGCATCACAGTGAGTGTTATCATGCTCTACTCCAGCCATCAGTGACTGTGATCATGTTCTACTCCAGCCATCACAGTGAGTCTGATCATGCTCTACTCCAGCCATCACAGTGAGTGTGATCATGTTCTGCTCGAGCTCATCACAGTGTGATCATGTTCTACTCCAGCCATCACATGAGTGTGATCATCTTCTACTCCAGCCATCACAGTGAGTGTGATCATGTTATACTCCAGCCATCAGTGTGATCATGCTCTACTCCAGCATCACAGTGAGTGTGATCATGTTCTTCTCCAGCAATCACAGTGAGTGTGATCATGTTCTACTCCAGCCATCAGTGAGTGTGATCATCTTCTACTCCAGCCATCACATGAGTGTGATCATGTTCTACTCCAGCCATCACAGTGAGTGCGATCATGTTTTACTCCAGCCATCACAGTGAGTGTGATCATGTTCTACTCCAGCCATCACAGTGAGTGTGATCATGCTCTACTCCAGCTCATCACAGTGTGATCATGTTCTACTCCATCCATCACAGTGAGTGCGATCATGTTTTACTCCAGCCATCACAGTGAGTGTGATCATGTTCTACTCCAGCCATCACAGTGAGTGTGATCATGCTCTACTCCAGCTCATCACAGTGTGATCATGTTCTACTCCATCCATCACAGTGAGTGTGATCATGTTCTTCTCCAGCCATCACAGTGTGATCATGCTCTACTCCAGCTATCACAGTGAGTGTGATCATGCTCTACTCCAGCTCATCACAGTGAGTGTGATCATGCTCTACTCCAGCCATCACAGTGAGTGTTTTCATGTTCTACTCCAGCCATCAGTGAATGTGATCATGATCTACTTCAGGTCATCACAGTGAGTATGATCATGTTCTACTCCAGGTCATCACCGTGAGAGTGATCATGTTCTACTCCACCCATCACAGTGAGTGTGATCATGCTCTACTCCAGCTCATCACAGTGTGATCATGTTCTACTCCATCCATCACAGTGAGTGTGATCATGCTCTACTCAATCCATCACATGAGTGTGATCATGTTCTTCTCCAGCCATCACAGTGTGATCATGCTCTACTCCAGCATCACAGTGAGTGTGATCATGCTCGACTCCAGCCATCACAGTGAGTGTGATCATGCTCTACTCCAGCTCATCACATGCGTGTCATAGATTACGTACTACTCTAACATACCCAACCCCGATTACTGGTTCTCAAGGTTATGGTGTGCAGAGTAAATCACAGGGCCTATGAGATCAAACCTGTTTTCAAAACAATAGTAAGCTATTACTACTTTTTGTTATGCTCATTCTGAGTATGCACTGTTTTCTGGAAAGTTCCCGATGTGTGTTAATGGAGACTGACTGAAGAAGCAGGTTTGTACCCATCTTATTCTATAATCCTGGCATTGAAGAGATTCACAAAATTCTAAGAGGATTCTAGTTGGGCCACAAATTTTGTGCAGGAAAATACAGGTATTTTTCATGAAAGTACATGAGTGTGTATGGCTGTGCATGCTTGTGTGTGTGAGAGACCAGACACTTATTATTAGTTATTTGTTTTTTGAGACAGGGTTTCTCACCTAACAAGACACTATTTTTATTTTTTTATTTTTTTGGTTTTTCGAGACAGGGTTTCTCTGTAGCTTTGGAGGCTGTCCTGGAACTCACTTTGTAGACCAGGCTGGCCTCGAAATTACAGAGATCCGCCTGCCTCTGCCTCCCGAGTGCTGGGATTAAAGGCGTGTGCCACCAACGCCAGGCTCTAACAAGACACTATTATGTGGTAAGAACGTGATGACTTGCAAAATTACCTTTACAACTAAAGAGATTGGCTTGTTTATTCTTTGGTATGTGTGTGAGTATCCATGCCATTGCATGTGTGTGGAAGTCAGGAGACAACTTGTGGTAGTTGGTTCTCTCTTCATCATGTAGTTTGGGGATCTGACCCAGGTTGGTAAGCTGCTGGTAATTACCTTCACCCAATGAACCATCATCTCACTGCCCCTGGTTTACTATTTATAAAAGCACTGTATAAATCACACAAAAGGTCTTTGGAAGTTCCACTTTTTACAAACTATTGGAAAGGTCCTGAGGTCATTCAAGGTGGAGAGAAGCCTCAGGGAGTTCATCCTAACCCTCAAAGGAAATACAGCCCATAGTGTGAGACATCCTGGTCCTTGACAGTCCCTGATAAGGAGACATAGCACGAAAGCCGATTTTGAAGCTGAAGTGCCAGGGAGCACTATGCTCACTGTAATTCATTTCAAAGCGTCGGCCCATCACTGGTCCTTGCAAAGGTCAGAAGGATACTGCGAACACGCGTGGTAGCTCTGATCACTTCCTGCTTTCTCCAAGGGAGTAGCCAAGGCTGAGCTAAGGGCGAGCAGCTTGGACAGTCATTGTCAGCCCTGGCTGCACGATAGAAGGCTTTGTGAGACACTGTGCTCGGTTGCTTGACTGTGTCGTGTTGCGCTGCATATAAGACACCCTTAATTCATTATTCTGTACTTAGAGAGGGTTCCCTCAATCACCCCAAGTCCCTCCTTGTGCTTTCTAGAACCCTATACGACCTCAGTCACTCACAGACAGTATCTGCTTGATCTGTCCACCACCCTCTAAAAGCTCTTTGAGAGATATTCTTAGTCACCCTTCCCATGCTTAAAAAGTCCCTGGCCACAGGAAACACTAAAATTTATGTTAGGTAGGGAAGGATGGCTTAATGGGTACAGTATCCAGACTGTACAAGATGAGGACCAGAGGTCAGCACCCACATAAAGGTAGTGACAAGATGGCAAGTTTGTGGGCTAGCCTGGCCTAAGTGGTGAAGTTAGGCCAATGGGAAACCCTGTCTCAAATAAAGGGTTCCTGAGGGGACAACCTAAGCGGTCCTCTGACCTTTACATACACTGTGCACGTGTGCACATGCAGATATCCTCAAAGTTCATGACAGTATAGTGTGGTCTCTTATTTATTCTCTCAATTAAGAACACAAACCTAAAACATTTACAATGTTAATTGAACTCAACTTTCATGTTTTTACATGTCAATATTGAGCATTACAAGGACAATTATAGTTATGTTCAAAATTATGCACTCCCAAACGAATGACTGTTTGGTGTTAGGATGCTTACGCACAGTTCAGTTTTGGGTGTTAAGTCCTCGCCTCTCAAGGAAGAACATCCTGTTCACTTCACTGATGGGGACGTCTCTCAGCGCAGGGATGGCGTCTTCCTGGTACTTCTTCCACTGCTGACTTTTAGCATAGTTATCTGCCAGAGAGAAAAGCTCCGCTCAGCCAGGCGTTTTCTTTCTGGATTTCTGTGGTTAGTTAAGACCAATAGAGCTGTTTATCCGGCTGATACGAGACTATGGCCAACACCATGTACTAGGAGTTACTTGTCTCATGCTGTAAGGGAATCCCTAGCGAATGCAACTCGAGGGCTTTGGTTTAGTTACACGGCTGCAGCTCGCCACAGAGGGGGAGGAGTGTGATGGGAGCAGGAGGCGGCTGATTACACCGTGTCCAGGCAGGGGACAGACAGGGATAAACGCTTATATTCAGCTCATTTTCTTCTTATTTAGCGCTAGAACTCACGGGACGGTACACTCCACATTCTTACTCAATGAACCTCACAGAGTGCTCAGATATTGGTTTCCATGGGGATTCTAAGTCCCACCAAGCTGGCAATCAAGATTAACCCCCGTGCCATGTCTAATGTGACAAGATCACCGTGTCTCAGAGCATTTCTGTAGCCTATTGATTGCTTTTCTGACAAAAGTACTAATACCTCATTCTTCTATCCCTTCCCAATTTTATTCACACGTAAGCTTACCTGTGATGGTATGAATGGAGTTGAGTGGAGAGGTACTCATCATGTTAATTCCAAACAAGAGGACATAGCCAATTACAACAGCAATAAGGAGGTAGACAGGCAATGCAACCGCCCAGTATCTGCAGGAGAGAATATCGAGAAGTCGCAATTTCCAAGAGGCAGTCACGAAACACACTTTTCTGTTTGTTTTCTTGAGACAGAGTTTCTCTGTGTAACAGCCCTGGTTGTCCTGGAACTCGCTCTGTAGACTAGGCTGGGCTCGAACTCACAGAGACCTGCCTGCCTCTGATAGCATCTTTTATTAACTGCTATCCTATTTTATTTCTGTGTGCTTAAGCCTTTAAAAGGTTTTTTAGCATCAGCATCGTTTTAGCAAGACTTTAGGGAGGAAGGGAAATAAATGCGTTTGCACCACCATCTGAAACTAGTGCTGTATTAGTAACCTTTAGGGAACTTTCAGTTTCTACTGGGGTACGGCTCACTGGTCAAAGCACTTGCTGCTCCAGCATTGAGGACCTGAGTCTGGGTTCCCAGAACCTAGGTGCATGCTGGGTGCATGTGTGGCCCACCTGCTGCCCTAGCACTAGAGGGCAGACACAGGGAACTCTGGGGCAGGCTGGCTTTGTTCAAGTGAGAGGCCTTGCCCCACGAGTAAGGTGGAGAAGGAGGATGGGGAAAGACTCCTGGACCACTACACGCACATTCGAGTATGTTCAACTGCACACACCGGTGTGGCCAGACACATGAAAACACCCCCAAACCCACCACACCCCGACACAAAAATTAAAAAAAGTTTTTCATTGTCAACAGTTACTTATGGATTGTAAAAAACGACTTAAGGTGTGTTAGAAAGAACTATAACCCTTCAAAACAGCATAGTTTTACCCTTAGGGAGGGAATTATTACACTTACTTTTGAGGCCAGTAAGTTAAGCCTAAGGAGTTCAGCCAAGATTCGGGAATGAAAGCCCACACGAGATAAAGTACTGCAGGATGAAGCGGGTAAGGGAAGAGAGAGGTCAGTGAGACATGGATGCAACCCACATGGTTCAGATACAACCAGAACGTTCTGACCGGGCTGTGCTCCCTCAGAATTCAGCCTCCTTAGCTCCTTATCTGCGCCATTCTTGTAGACCATAACCACCATATTAGTAAGTTGTCAGTGTCTCAGCCCTCGCACTGTTTTAAACAGCCTAAGGGCTGTTTTTTTTCAGCGCCTAGTAAGTTGCTCTGCATGCTGTATGTCCAACCCTTCTCCACGGGTCAGATGCGATTGCATTTAGTTGCTTAGGGGAGCTTGTCCTAGATGGTTCTGAGTGTCCCTTAATACTCAAGTGTCTGTGACCTCCTTCTCTGCAGGTTCTACTTCACCTTACCCTCAAAACAATCCTGAGATACGTGTGCACATTTTATACATGGGAAGTGCTAAGGCCAAGTGTCAAACTACAGCAGTAATGAGGGTCGGTTTTCCTACGAATGCAGTGTTGTAGAGCGCTATGAGTCAAGACTGTGGGATAGATGACTCCTGAGGAGCTGGTTTCTGCTTTCCTTTCGCATCTGGTGCTGAACAAACGTGGTTAAACTGATCTTTTCCCTACACTTTAGCCCTAATGACCGAGCGCTAAAAGACGGCGTACGGCACAGGAGAACGACCTTCTTCTACTCCTTTCCCTTCTCCCTGTGGTTTTGCTTCCTGGGTATGTTTGACTCATCTCCAGACTCTCCAACCATGATGCTGGAAAGCTCAACCACAGCAGACAAGGCTTGGCTGTTTTGCCACTCCCTGGGGCTGTAACACCGCCTGGCGCATAGTAAGTGCTCAATAAATTCCTGAATTAACTTTTGGTTGTATCTTAACTCACCGGTTTAACTTGTTTATATAGTTTCTAATCCTTAAAATATTTATAAAAAATAAACAGCTAACACTTCTTATACACGGTTTCTTTGCATTAAGTACTTTACGTAGAATACCCGAGTTAATACGGGAGTCCAAAGCGGCAGTAGAGTGAAGTCCGCCAGTACGCCTGTGTTCTAATCCCAGTCCTGCTGTTTATTAGCTGTGTGGGTTTGAGCAATCTACTTAAACCCAGCATTGTCATCTTCAAGTCCAGGAGGGCAGCACGGAACCTACTTCATGGGATCACTTTATGCAAAACATCAACAACAAACACTATCACTATCCCCTTACGGGTGAGAGCACTTTAGGCCTGAGTAAGTTAAACACTCTTAGGCCAAACAAGGTCTCCGTGAAAGAGCCAGGATTTGAACTCAGTGACAACTTTCATCTTCTTCCACTTGGTTGAGGAGGGGCATTGAGGACAGGCATTGGTCCTCTTTGTGTGAGTGGTGAAGTCGGTTTTGTTTTGTTTTGTTTTTTTGGTAAGGCTCAGTGTCCTCATCTAAAAAAAAAAAAAAACCCTGGACATTATGGGGACCAAAGCAGACCCAGGATATAATAGGCCTATACCTGCATCTCTAGCCATTCACTCCTCAGATCCAGGGGGCTACCCTGGACCTGTAAACTCCTCACTCCCAAACCTCCGCAGGCCTCCTCCAGGGACTGTCCCATGGTCCTTCCGGCTGGCTTTATTCCTCTCTGGTACATCTGCCAGGCAGTGGCCTGGAGGAAGCCAACCTGACTGCTCTCCCAGGGCATGCTGCATGCGGCGGGTGCTACACTTATGCACAAGACCTCCAGGGCAGGGACCGGGCTTTATTCACTGGAGTGTGGAGCCTGGAGCTGGATTAAACACTGGAGGGCAAACCTGCTGTATTGGGTATATAAGAGCTGGATAATCACTGGAGGGCAAACCTGGTGTATTGGGTATATAAGAGCTGGATAATCACTGGAGGGCAAACCTGGTGTATTGCGTATAAAAACACCCTTAGCAAACGGGCTCCCTCCAGAGCTCCCTAGGAAGACACAGGCGGAGAAGGAACCAGCGGCTCCGCCGTGTGCACTTGTTCCCGGAACGAATGCGTTATTTTCCTGGTCCTCGAACGCACCAGGAAAACGCCCTGGCCGTCCGTCACCCGTTCCCGTTTACTCACTGAAGCCAAACTGCGAGCTTAGGAAAAGGACAAAGCCGTAAATGGCCCTTTCTGGCAGCGGCGACGGCGAATTTTCCACCATCTTCCCGGTGGCTTTGGGCAATCTGGGGGGGTAAAGGAGCAGCAGCGCAGGCGTCGTCAGGCCGGCATCTCCCCCCCGTCCCCCGCCCTCCCCCGCTGGAGTATTACATAACCTCGCGGCGCTGCGGATGCTCGCCCGCCCGCCCCCCGGCCCCCACCCCACGCCCCCCCTCCGCGTGCGCGCGCACCGCGGGGGAAAATGCGCCACTCGGACATCCCGGAGGCGAGGACCGGGCCCCGGGGCCCTGACCGAGGCCGGAGAGCCCCGCCGTCTCGTGAGGGGCCCGCCCCGTCCTCACCTGCGGCCCAGACCACCCTGCGGACACCCACGCCCACCCTTCCCCACCCCGCAGCCCCTCCTCCGCGCTCGGCCCTCCGCGCAGGCGCGGCCCGGAATGCCGCAGTGGCGACGAATTAAAAAAAAAAAAACCAACCAAAAATCCCGAGGAACAAGCGGGGGAGATCGGAGGGGATGGAGGGGTGGGGAGGGAGGGGCGAGAGCGCCCCGCCGGTTGGCGCAGGCGCACAGCGCGGGGGCTAGCGCAATCTCACCACCCGGCCCGCGGAGCCCACGGGGGTGGACGCGGCGGCTGCGCATGCGCGCCCCGCCGCCCACGTGACCCGCCCGCCTCCGCTGCGGCTGTGCGCTCGCCCGCCCGCTCGCTGGCAGGCTAGGCTGGCAGGCGGGCAGGCGGGCTGGCTCGCTCGCGCTTCGGGTCTGCTTGACGTGGAGGGCCGGAGGCGGCGGCGGCGGTGGCGGCCGCCCGCGTCCGAGGCTCGCGGGCCGCGGGCCCCGGGGTGAGTGGCGACCCAGCGCGGAGATGCCCGGGCCTCGGGGCGCTGCACACCTCCGCGCGTGGGTGTGTGGTGAGTCTGGGTCTGCGCGTCCCGCCGGGGGCGCCCGCGCGCTCAGGGGGTGTGGCCGCCCGGGCCCGGGGACGGTGTGTGTGTGTGTGTGTGTGTGTGGCCGCCCCTCTGTCCCCGGGGGTCCCGGGCTGCCCCCGACGCGGGGGTGGTGAGCCCTGCGGGCCTTTTGTGTGCGCGTCCGCGCGGCCGGCCCCGGGGCGCGCGTAAGGGGTAGCACGGGGGACAAGGGGGTCGTCCTGCGCGCTCGGGGACGCGCCTCTGTGCCCGCCCCGCTTTGTCCCCGCGCTCGCCCTCGCCCGCGGTGGGCGGCCCCCGTCTCTGTCTGTGGATGCTGCCCGGGTGACGCGCGCCTCTTGTATCCCCCCCCCCCCCCAAACCCCTGCAGGGACAGGCGCGCGGGCGCGTCCTCGCCGCGTGTCCCCAGAGCCGCGCGGGTCCGGGTTCCTGCGGGGACGCGCGCGCGCGCGGCCACCCCCGCCTTCCCCCGGTGTCTGTGTACCTGTGCGCGCGCGCGTCCCCACCCCCGCGTTGCTGTCACCCACCCCTGAAGGGACGCCCGCCGAGCGGCCCCCACCTGCAGCCTGGGCGAGCATCTTTTAGCTGCGGCGGGGGCTGCGGCGGCGGTGACGTCACCAGAGCCTGGCGGGGAGGGGGCCCGACTGGGGGGGGGTGGACAAAGGACCCCAGGGATGCGGCAGGTGGGCAGCAGCCGGCGGGCGGCGCACGGCACCTTTTCCGGAAGCTTCTAGCATAGGTCCTTTTCCCGGGGAGAGCCGCCTCGCCGCGCGGTGTGTGTGATACAGACAGGTTTTACTGTGTGTGTGTGTGTGTGTGTGTGTGTGTGTGTGTGTAATTAGACAGGTTGTCACTGCTCGCCCTGGTGTGTGTGTGTGTGTGTAATTAGACAGGTTGTCACTGCTCGCCCTGGTGTGTGTGTGTGTGTGTGTAATTAGACAGGTTGTCACTGCTCGCCCTGGGGGCGCGGTGTGTGTGTGTGTGTGTGTGTGAAATCAGACAGGTTGTCACTGCTCGCCCTGGTGTGTGTGTGTGTGTAATTAGACAGGTTGTCACTGCTCGCCCTGGTGTGTGTGTGTGTGTAATTAGACAGGTTGTCACTGCTTGCCCTGGTGTGTGTGTGTGTAATTAGACAGGTTGTCACTGCTCGCCCTGGTGTGTGTGTGTGTGTGTGTAATCAGACAGGTTGTCACTGCTCGCCCTGGGGGCGCTTTCCTCATTACCTGTCTCCAAAAAGCCTGTGTTCTAAGGATGCAAACAGGGAAAGAAAGGTTTAACCAAAAAAAAAAAAAAAAAAAAAACCCTTTCGGTTATCCGCCATCGCCGTCCTGGTCAAGGGTTTGTGCTTTGCAGAAAAGCTCAAGGACTGCTGTTTCTCTCTGTTTCCCTCCTGCTCCATTTCCTTGTCACTGTTGCCTGATTTCCCTTTTGATTTTCTGGAGTGCTTCAAAGGTCAAACATAGGTAGATCCGATCAAACCAGACATTTCATTTACCAATAAAATTTACTTCAAATCCTCCCAAAAGAAAAAAAAAAGAGACTTAAAAAAATTTGGAGGCGCTCAGAGCTCTCCCCCTCCTTGCCTGGAGATAGCCACTGTGTTCAGGTCTGTGTGAGATTTCCTTGCACACTTTACAGTTCGGTAATGGTGAATTTATACACAGTACATGGTATTGGTTTTTAAACCAAAGTGATGAAATTGTGTTTGCAACTTGCTTTTTTCACTCAGCATCACATTTTGATATATATATATGCATATATATATGCGTAAATCGAACAATTGTATTTTGAATGATTATAACTGTTGGTGTAGCACTGCGTTGTATGAATATACCATAATTTATTTTTAACGTCTCCTCTTGGTGGACTTTGGAATTGTTTATAGTCTTGACTCTTTAAACCTTCCTGCAGTAGCTATATTTGTACCTGTTTGTTATGCACACTTTTGGAGTTTCTCTAGGAAGTACACCTAGTCGTAATTTTGCTGGGTGGTAGGATCTGTGTATCTTCCAGTTAACCAGATGAGAGAGACACTCAGGGTTATTGTACCCATTTTCACCATCACTGATACTGAGAACACCCATTTCCTCTCATGCTTGCTAACAGACTACTTTTTTTTTACTTTCTCTTTACTGACCATCTTCATGACTAGCTTACTGCTAAATTTGCTTATAGCTTCGCCTCTGTCCAGCTATGTGACAGCAAATGGGTTACTCTCTCACAGCTGATGGGTTTGGTCTTTATTGGGCTTGGTCTTCATAATGTTAATTCCAACGAACATTTTGTTATGTTATCTAATGTTTCTATGGTTGATGTAAAGATAGAATTTCATGGTATGCTATATGTACCTCTCTAGTAGCAAGTGAACTGATTTAATTAAATGCATTTTAAAGATACGACGTTTCTCTTTAAATCCTTTCTTCTATGCAGTAGTTCGTATATTCAGAACACATGTAACATATATACAAGCTGTGAAGTAAAACAAATGAACACTTGCAAATCTACTAGTGCACCCAAGAGTCAACCTAACCAATATTGAATGTGCTCACTTTCAGAAGTCATTATGCTGAACTCATGTTATTCTTGTATTTTAAACACTTTAATCAGATTTTTGTGTATCACTCAACACTGAATTGTATGTTCGGTTTCTATGTTTGAGTAAAAAAAGTGGGTGTAGTCTTCTGAAACTTGCTTTCACTCAATGCTGTATTTCTAAGTTACTAATATTCAGTACAGATGTAACTCATTAATTCTTTACTGTTGTGTAATGTTGGGTGATATGCATTTTCCTGTTGGCAGGCATTTTGATTGTTCTGTTTTATATAAGAAAAGTAAACAGCACACCCACTTGGAAAAGTAGGAAAGCAAAGATAATTTAAGATGCTATGTACAATGCGGAAAAAGCCTCTCTTAATCCCAGCACGTCCTCTCTCCACTTCTCCAGGAAATCGGTATCATTTCTTCTGTTAATTATCAGTGTTTATAATTGCTTTTATTCTACTCAGCTGTATGGTAGGAGTAGCTGTACTTATCTCAAACATCTTGACACCTATTCTCTTTGTGTGGGTGTGTGTGCCATGGTACATGTATGGAGGACACCTTGGAGTTCTTTCCTTCCACCCTGTGGGGCTGGGCGATTGAACCCTGCTGGTTAGGGTTGGTGGCAAGCGCCCCTACCCACTGAGTCATCTTGCTGGCCCACTTATATGTTTAGAAGAATCACAGTTTGACTTTTAAATGTCTTTATGGTACTGTAGAAATTACCCTTTGCCATCTCACTCAGTGCTGAACCGTTTTAGGCATCATAGCAGCATGTGGGAAGCACATGATTTTCTTTTCTTTTCTTTTTTTTTTTTTGGTTTTACGAGACAGGGTTTCTCTGTGTTGTACTGGAGGCTGTCGGTCCAGCCCGGCCTCGAACTCACAGAGACCCGCCTGCCTCTGCCTCCCGAGTGCTGGGATTAAAGGTGTGCGCCACCACGGCCCGGCAGCACATGATTTTCGAAAGCACTTTTGATGCTTTGTGGACAAAAGATAGGTTGGCGCACGCAGCATCGGAAGCCGATGGCTAGAGTGGGATTGCTGGTCTTTAAGTGGGATGGACGCTCACCTCACACAGTGATTTCAGGCTGGTTGTGAAGCGGTTGTAGCTTACATACTTAGGTCACTTACATACTCAGGTCAGCGTTCTGTGAGAGTTACAGTCCACCTGGAACCTCTCCAACACTTACCTTAGATTTCTCCTATTTGCCAGTAGTTCGATGTGGTGATCATCAGGGCTTAAATCTGCATTTTTTTAATGAGGTTGACAATCTTTTTCATATATTATGTATCAGGTGTTTCCTTTGTGAGGAAAGCATGACCATGTTTTTTCACCCACTTTAAAAAAATACTGAATTGTCTCTTAAACCTGAGAAATGGGCAGCTTTTTCTTTTCTTTTTTTTTTTTTTAAATGTACATTGAAAAAAACCCAGGGCCTCATGCATCTGACAGAAAATTTCTACCACTAAACTACACCCTAGATCCCAACTCTCAGTTCTAATGTAACCTAATTGTAAGTGTCCTTTGCTCTGTGTTCCGTTTTAGACGTTTTTAAATGGTGCATCCCCTTCTTAACTCCATCTCCACCTGCAGGCAGTTTTTGTGAATGGTGTTGAGTTAGTGACCCACATTCATTTCATCTCTGGCTCTATTGAGTTAGCTTCTGCAGAGTCGTCCCTGCTCACTTGCCTGCTGAGCTTCCGAGTGTCGGTCTGCCCCTGGGTTGTCCGTCTGTATCTCTTGTCATCTGATTTCTGTCTGCGTTTGTATCTGCACTCTCTTAGTCACTATCACTGTAGCTTTGCCTGAAGTCTGCGTTTGGTTCTTTGGACCCCAGCTGGCCTTAAAAACTCAGTGAGGGCTGGGATTACAGGCATGCAGCAGCTCACAACTGGCCAAAACCTTCATGTTTCTAACATTTGCTAAGTAGTTCTGAGGGGCTGGAGAGATGGCTCAGAGGTTAAGAGCACTGCCTGCTCTTCCAGAGGTCCTGAGTTCAATTCCCAGCAACCACATGGTGGCTGTAATGAGATCTGGTGTCCTCTTCTGGC